AGCAACTTAATGATGGAAGGGTTTATTCCCGGTCACATTCTGCTGTCACCGTCCATCTGATAGGGGAGGCATGGTGGCAGGAGTGTGAGGCAGCTGGTCACATGGCATCCACAGTCGGGAGAGAGGGAGGGGGGACGTTGGTGCTCACCTCCTTTCTCTTCTTATTCAGTCTAGGATCCCAGCCCATGGAATTATGCCCCCAACCACTTCAGTTAACTTGATCTAGAAACATCTTCAAGACAATCCCAGAGATGTATACAGAGCATGGATGGTTCTGGATACTGTCAAGTGACAATATTAGCCACCATGGAAGGGAGCTACTGTGTTTGGTGCTCTCAGCTTCCTCGAAGAATGTGCAAAATCAAGGGAGAACGATGTGATGTGGAGATGATCCCTTGGGAAGGAGCAGTTGGGAAAGAGGGGTTAGATGAGAAACTGTCTAACCACAACTCCAGCCGTGAGTCCCGTCATTGGATGTGAGACAATGAATCTCACATTGTCTATGGACTCTTCTGTTACTAAGCTAAAAATATCACTGCCAGGACTGAAAAGAGATTACCCTTATCCCGCTGACCCAGTGAGCCTTAACTATCAACTCGTCACACTTTGGAGTCATTTGATTAGGACGTCTCAACGGAAGAATTACCTAGGTCAGATTGGCCTATGGCCATGTCTGTGGGGGCACTATCTAGATTAATTGATGGAGGAGGGCTCAGCCCACTGTGGGCGACACCATTCCCTGGGCAGTGGTCCTGAGTGGCATAAGAAAAACTAGACAAGCCTAAGTCTGAGTCTGAGTCTGAGCCAGCAGGCAACATTCGTTCATGGTTCCTACTTCAAGATCCTGTTTGAGTTCTTGCTCTGACTTCCTTCAGGGATGGACGGGAACCTGGAGGTGTTGACAAATTAACCCTTTCCTCCCCTGCATTGCTTTTGATCAAAGTGTTTGATCCGGGTCATAGAATGAAAAACGAACACTCCGTGCTCTTTCCGTTGGGGAAAGCAATGCTGGGGTTTGGACGTCAGGAGATCCTGCCTGCGCATCTGGCCATCTCCAGTGTCTAAAGTCAGGCTTCACAAGGCTCTGATATTCTTCAGTACTCTCTGCCATGACTGAGTTTTTTTCAGGATATATGGGACCAGGTAGGATGACTCAGAGGGCTTGGGTGTTGTGCTGATGAGAAAGGACTAAAAACACAAAGAGTTTGGATTTGACCGAAAACTTTTTTTCTCTTGTTTTTATTCTCTCTGTGGAAGGAAAGTAGAGGCTGGAGGGGAGGACAGATTAATAAGGATGTAAGAGACACCAGCTTCTTGTTCTCTCGAAGACTTAACGATGTTCATGGATCCACAGAAGGGAGGGCTGGTAGGAGCTGCAGGGGCCTCATAGCCAACCCAGCTCATTTTACACAGGAGCAAATTGAGACCTCTGGTTTTGGCTGCCGACATAATTAGCTACTAAGCCTGGCCGGGAGCCTGGAGTCGTTGCTTGCAGGCTGGTCTTTCTCTCTGCTGGACAAGCGTGTGTTTGCAGAAAGCATTCCACATGATGAGCTAGTATTAACAACTGATTAAAAATTACTAGTAATACATGATTCTTTTTAAGGTTTACTTTTATTTTTAATGATATTTATGTCTTTATGTCTATGGGCACAGGTTCCTTTGGAGGCCAGGAGCAGACATTGGATGTTCTGTCTCTAGAGTTATAGGTGGTTGTTAGTCATCCAACCTTGGTGCTGGGAGTTAGACTTGAGTCCTCTGCAAGAGCAGCAAGCACTCTTAACTGTGGAACCATCTTCCCAGCCCTATAATTCTCTTTTATTTTTAATTTAATCCTGTTTAGTTAATGTATGTGGTGTTTTGTGTGCCTGTGTATCTGTGTACCAGTTGTATGCCTAGTGCCCACCAAGATCAAAAGAAGAAATCAGATTCCTTGAAACTGGAATTATAAACAGTTGTGAGCTGTCACGTGGATACTAGGACTTGAACCCAAGTTCTCTACAGGGCAGCTCTTAGTCTTTCCAGCTTTTCAGTGCTACAATATTTACTCTGTAATATTGAGACTGATGCATTTGCAGCAATCTGCTCGCTCTCTGTCTAGCGCCCCCTACAGTATGAGCAGGGAACACATGGAGATGAGAAGTCTGTGATGAGACAGTTGAGAGAAGAGTGTGTGCACATGCATGTTACACACACACTGCTGAGCATGCCTATGCACACGCACGGAGGCCAGAGGATTTTGGTGGGCGTCCTGCACTACCTCTATCACCTTGTTCCCTTGAGACAGGATCTCTCCCTGAATTTGCAGCTAGGTTGGTGGCCAGCAAGTCTCAAGTGTTCTCCAATTTTTGCCCACAGTGCTGGGCTGTGCCGGATGTCATGTAAAAGGGGTGATGGCTTACTGAATAGTTAGCAGACTGAGAGACGGGCAAGTCTGTGACTGGCGAGCCATTTTTTTCTGGGACCTATGTAAGCTGCTATCTATGAAATCTACGTAACTATCAACCTTGCACAACTTCTATATGATAGACTCATTCGAGAAGCATCTCAGTGAGGACTCATGCAGATGAAGTTGGCCAGTGGGCATGTCTGTGGGGGGATTGCTAATTGTTAATTGATTGTTGATCGTTAATTGAGGTGGGAAGACACAGCCTGTTGTGGGTGACACCATTTTATGGGCTGGACCCTGAGCAATCGAAGACTGAAGAAAGCCAGCTAAGTATGGCTAGCATGGGTACATTCATTTCTTTCTGCTCTTGACTGTGGATATGTTCAGCTGCTGGGGTCCTACCCTGACTTCACCGCAATGATGGACTTTGACCCGGAGCCATGCCCCCGAACAAACCCTTGCCTCCCTTACGTTGTTCGTGGTCAGGGTGCCTGATGACAGCGACAGAAATGAAATCAGGAGTGATCTCAAAAGGCGAATGTGTCTTTGGCGAGGAAAGAGGAAAGGAACTTGTTTGAGGAAGAATCTCAGGATGGAAGAGTATAATTACCCAGGGAAACAGCCCTAGGGATGCCAAGGCCTAATCCTCTGGAATCCCAAATTCCTGGAAAGAATTCTTTGGTGTGATTGAGTTAAGGGTCTTGAAACGTGAGATGTCTTGGATGATCTGGGTGGACCCCAAATCAAATGCAAATGTTCAGATAAGAGGGAGGTGGGTTGGTGGGAATACGAACTGTCACAGGCAGGCACCGTGGGTTCTCCACAAACAAAAGACAGCAGCTGGGGAGATGGCTCAGTGGCAAAGAACACCTGCAGTTCTTTCGGAAGCGCTAACTTTGATACCCAGTGCTTACCCTGGGTAGTTCACAGCTGCCTGCCATTCCAGCTCAGGATGACCAGGTGCTCCCTCTGGCCTCGCCTGGCACCTGCACGCAGGCGCACACATTCCTCCCACCCCACTTCTTCATAACTTCCCTTATGATCTAGCATTATTCCTCCTGGGTATTTGCCCAAAGGAATGGAAATCTAAGCCTGTATACCACATTTAAATGTGAACACTCGTGATGATGGTTGCACGAGGCACAGTAGCTGGAACGCTGGCCCAGTCTCTGTGCACTTCTACAAATGATGAAGGAAGCGCAGTACCTATACACAACAGGGTGTTACGCTGCCTTAATGAAGAATCGAGTTATGTGTTTGCAAGGAAGCTGAAGGTTAAGTTAACTGAAATAAGCGGGCCTGAGAAAGACAAATATTATGGACTCCGGTGCCCATGTTTTTGCAGCCAGTTCTCTTACCACTGAGCCTTCCCTGCAGTCGCCCTACGTTGGATTTTTATTTTTCTGGAGCAACTCCAAACAGCTGCAGATCCCAACGTTCTTTTGATACCCAGGATGGACTTCTTTTCTTTAAACTCTGATCTCAAATTTCTCATGCCTCACAAAGAGGGACATGATGAGAAATGTTCACTTAATCCAAGACTGCCAGCGTTGGAGGCTCCGGGGGGGGGGGGATGGGGAGTAGGTAGAACCCAGAGTAAAGAGCAGGAGACCTCCTGCCTCGCGAAGGGAGCCATAGGGATAGCAGAGCCGAGTTCTTTTCCAGACCACGGAGAAAGTGATTAAAGTTGTCGTGAAGCTCCGTGACATTGGGGCTGAGCTGCGGCTGTTTATAAAACAACTGCAGATTAGAGGGACCAAATGGAAACAGTGGGGGTCTCACCTCTTGTCCTCTGAGGTTATTAAACGCTGCGTGCCACCAGCAGCAGCAGCAGGGGGACTATCACATACCCCCCCCCCCCTGACCCGGCCATTGCGGCAAAGCTCACCAGTCTCTCCCTTTATCAAGGCAATTTTCTGCTGGGGTCCCCACCTGACTGTGCCTACAGCACCGTGTGCAGATATTTAGGGCGGTCTGCCTCTTGCTTTTCTTTTTCTCTCCCATTCCTCTTTTCCTCCTTTATTTTCCTGGACCTTCCTTTCTTCCCCCCTCTTTCTTTTCAGTTTTGTTTTACAATTATTTGTGTGTGTGTGTGTGTGTGTGTGTGTGTGTGTGTGTGTGTGTGTGTGTGAGACGTCAGAGATTTACAGGTTAGAGATCGACTTTGGGGTTCTTCCTCAATTATTTCCGCACCTTATCTATCCATTTGTCTATCTATTATTTTGAGACAGAATTATATGTGACTCAATCTGGCCTCTGTCTTGCCACAGCAATACAGAAGCCGAGGATATCCTTGAACATCTGGTCCTTCTGCTTCCACCCTTCCTTCTGAGGATTGAGGTTCCTACTGAGCATCATGATGCCCACTCTACACAGTGCTGGGGTTGGAACCCTGTGGCTCCATGCATGTCAGGCCAGCACTCTGTCAACTGAGCCTCATTGCCACCCTCGTTCTTTCTGAAATCGTTTTTTATCATGTGTCCAGTCACGGCAACAAGGAAGGCAGCGAGCCTCCTACTGGTACAGCGAGATGCTACTGTTAGTCGCTCATGGTTTGATGGCAATGAAGTGGCCACGTGACTGGTGAACTTTCTCTGCTGTTTCCTTGCAGAAATCCGAGAAGCCTTTCGTGTTCTGGACAGAGATGGGAACGGCTTCATTTCCAAGCAGGAGCTGGGTATGGCCATGCGCTCCCTGGGGTACATGCCGAGTGAGGTGGAGCTGGCTATCATCATGCAGCGGCTGGACATGGACGGTGAGACCTGCTTAGTACCGCCAGGCTGCGCCTCCCGCCTCACTCCCTGGGTCTGGGGTGCATACAGTCTTCCACTCAAGTCCCCGCTCAGTTTACACGTTAGGAATGGAAGCTTGAACTTGACCTGGGTTTGTGCACAGGACCGTGTGATCGGGGACAGTATTGGGACAGTTATAGGAATAGATAGGAATAGATAGATAGGTTGGTCCCTCTCATTTTATTTTATTCGTTTTCTTATTTTTAAGGGTAGAGAGCTCAGTGGCTAAGAACATATGTTCTTTCATTAAGATTCTGTTTATAGTACCCATGTTGGATGACTCACCACCATCTTTCAGCCCTGCTCCAAGAGGATCTGACATCTCTGGCCTCTGTCAGAAGCTATATGCACACACACACACACACACACACACACACACACACACAGAGTCATAAATAATATAAATCTTACATTTCCATATGGTGTGCATGTATGTGTATGTTTGTGTGCATGTGTGTATGAGCACATGTGTGTGTACATGTGTGTTGGCTTCAGCACGATGTTCAGAATCATCTTTGATTGTTCTACCTTGTTCAAACCCAGAGCTCCCAATATACCTAATCTAGCAAGCCACGTGCTGTGGGAATCCTATGCTTACATTCTGAGTCTAGAGTGACAGGCCACAACACTCATGCAGGTTTTATGTGGGTCCCAGAGATTCCAATTGTGGTGTTCATGCTTGGGTGGCAAGTACTTAACCGCTGACCCACCTCTGTGGCCCCTAACTTCCATTTTAAGAGCAGCTTATGTGTGTTTGCCTGTGTGTATACATGAGAATGTACATATGGGTATGTAAGCACATTTGAACATGTATATGTAGAGGTCAGAGGTCAATCCTGAGTATCATTCTTTAGGCACCACCCACCTTAATTTTTGAGACAGTGTCTTTCATTAGGACTCAGGATTCATGACGGGTGACCATTCTCCATGGGGCACTCCTGTTTCTACTCCTCCAGTGCTGGGATTACAAAACTATGCTTCTATGCCTGTGGCTTTATTTTTTTCAGGCTTTCATCCTGGTGATCCATACTATCATCATACTTGCAAGGCATGTACTTTATTGACCAAACTGCCTCCCGCTCCCCAAGCACCCATGGAGCGTAGCTCTTACCATAACTTGTAGGCAATAAAACTGTCAGGAGATTCTCCTATCTCTAGCAGTTGTTACTGCTTATATAATGTTGGGGAGGTGCCTTGTAAATCTTGTTGAGTTTCAGGAACTTCACGAGACTTGCAAGTTTTATTCACTTCCTGGGTCTTAAGAGCCTTGCTCCAGAAAGTATTTCCGTGAGGAGGAAGCAACTACAGAAAGCACAGTAAGCCAGATTAAAAAGACAACTGTTCCAGCCAAGCCTGTGGGAACCAGTCTGTCATCCCAGCTCTTTGGAGGCTGAGGAAAGGTGACGGCAGAGTTACAGTTTGCTTTGTGGAATTGTAAGCTGGCTAGTTGTGGCGCTTTGAATGAGAAATGGTCCCCATAGGCTTGTGTATTTGAACACTTGGTCTCCAGTAGGTGGTGTTGTTTGAGGCGATTATAGAACCATTTGAAGGTGGAGCCTTGCTGGAAGAAGTTATCACTGGGGATCTGCTTTGAAAAAGCTTGTAGCCTTGCCTCACTTCCAGTTCGTTCTACTTCCTGTTTGTGGTTCAAGATCTGCTCAATCAGCTTCCTGCTCCCGTACTAGGTCTGTCTGCCTCCGTGTCTTCCCACCATGATGGGCTCCTATCCCTTTGAACCGTAAGCCCAAACAAACTCTTCCAAAGGTCACTTTTGTTCACAGTGTCTCATCACAGCGAACGACAAGTCCCTAACCCACGCATCTGCCTTCACATTCCTGCTTTGAGCTCCCTCCCCGACTTCCCTCAGTGGGGGACTGTGACCTGATGGTGTAAGATGAAACAAGCAGTTTCCTCCCCTAATCTGCTTTTGATCAGAGTGGGTTGTTTCTGTTTTGAATCACAGCGACATGCAGGGAACCAGAACAATTCGGTCGGGGACTACTTGCGCGGTCTGTACACCGGGTTTTGTTTGCCTTTCTCCTGTCCCCTGCATGACGTGTTAGGAGGACAGCGACAATGGAGACCCATATGGTGAATGAGGTGCAGCTGTGGACGCTGCTTGTCTTCTCTCTGGTTCGGCACGGAGCTGCCGGATCAGGAGCACGCATTGTCTAAACAGTCTCTGATGGATGATGACTCACTGGGTCTCTGCAGGCCCGATGCGATGTCGCTGTCTCTTGTAGCCTCAGTCCTGAAATTGCTGGGGCTAAAAGCCTCCAGCGAAACTATTTGCTCCCATCCTCTTCTCAAAGGGACACTGAAGGACAGTTTCCTACTGAATGCTTTTTATTTTGTTTTAATTTTTGTTTTCCTCTGGAGACGGGGCCTTGCAAGGTTGTATCTCCACTGGCCTCAGGTTCAGGATATCCCCTTATGCCTCAACCTCTGGAATCATGGGATTCCAGATGACACACCCATGAGCCTGCCTTAGAAAAAAGTTAATGGGTATCGCTGTTTATAGATCTCAGAAGGTGCTGCTGTTTTTTTAGTTTTAGGAGTCCTGGAGCTAGAGAGATGGCTCAGCCGTTAGGAATGCTTGCTGCTCTTGCCGAGGACCTGAGTTTAGTTCCCAGCACCCACATTGGACAGCCCATCACCTGTAACTCATGCCCACCTGTCTCCATACAGACACAAACACATACGCATAATTAAATCTTTAAAAAATACACTGGGAGGGGTCTTTTTGTTAGCAAACTCTTGCTATGAGTCCAAGCTAATCTTGACCTCAGGGCCATTCTGCTACTTCACCCTCTTAAGTGCTCGGATTATAGAGATACACCAACATACTCTGCCTTGGTAAACACTTCATCCGATACCTCTGTTTATGAAATTAAGATGATTTTATTGGTTTTTCATTGTTTTTTAAATTTTGCTTTGAGGTAAGATCTTTGCCCCAGTATTGTGGAAATTGCAATTTGGAAAGTAGTGTGTGTGTTTGTGTGTGCACATATGAATTATTGATATAATTAAGTACCTGACTAAAGCAACTGAAGGAATGAAAGGTTTATTTTGATTTTGCCTCACAGTCCACCCTGGTGGGGAAAGCGTGGTGAAGGAAGTATGAGGGAACTGGTCACGTGGCATCCACAATCAGGAAGCAGAGGGAGATGGATGCTGGTGCTCGGCTCACCTCTTCCTTTTCTTTCAGTCCAGGATCCCAGCCTATGGGACAGTGCCACCTACATTTAGGATATGTCTTGCTGCCTCAGTTAACCGAATCTAGAAACTCCCTCTTAGATATGCTCAGCAGTGTGTCTCCTAGATGATTCTAGAGCAGTTAATGCAGCATTGGCCCCTTAACTGCTAGCTTCCAGTCCACAGAGTATTTTCTGTTTGGATTACATATGGGTTGGAGCCCCATAGGACCCTGTGTGGGACACTCTTTGGGGAGCTCAGGAAGACACGCTGCCCTACAGGATCCCAAATTGCTCAGGCATTTGCTCTATCTGCTGTGTAAAATATTCTCGATTTACACCAGTTTTCTCGCACTTTGCCCCAGTCACATGACTTCTGCAGACAGAACATTGAAGCAGATATTTAGAGGGATTCCTCCAGTTTACTGAACCAGAGGCTTATTTAACCCGTTCACGGACTCCTGCCAAGTCAAAATGCTTTTGACTTGATTTAATTTTGGGCTCTGGTACTTTCGGAGGCAGTCTTCCTCAAAACCTCAGGCTGTCCTGTGAATCCTGGAGCTCACTCTGTAGCCCAAGATGTTCTAGAACTTTCCGTCTTCCTGCATTACTCTTCCAAATGTGTGCCATTTGATTTACTATTAAAGGTTAATTTCATTTTATGTATGTATGTATGTATGTGTGTGTGTGTGTGTGTGTGTGTGTGTGTGTGTGCTTGTACCCATGGGGCTCAAAAAAAGGTGTCCAACCCACTAGAGGTGTGGAGTTCCAGGTGGGTGTTACCCACCATGTGGGTGCTGGAAATTGAACCCCAGGTCCTCTGCAAGAGCACCAAGTTCTCTTAGCTACCAAGGCATCGCTCTTTCCCCTTATTTCCCTTACTATCACTTTAATAGAGTATCTTATTTGTTTCTTAGCAATGCCATACATACAAACAATATGCATGCATGCCACGTTCTCCCGCCCGTTCCTCCCAGACAGTCTCTGACCTGTCCCCTCCTCCCTTCATGTCCTCTTTCTCTCCCCCACAGTTCAATCAGTGCTGCTGTGGGATTGTTGGCCTATATTGTTAGCTGGATGTTGTTCAAGTCACTACATTGATTATTTTTTAAGGCACAGGTTTTCTTAAAGATTCATTTTTTTTTGCTGAAAATTGTGCTGCTAATTATATGACAATAATGACTAACTGTGAAAAGAGTAAAGTTAAAAAAATGCCCCGTTAGAGGGGGAAATGCGTGTCTTTAGGCATTTTATTACTAAGGCTGGGACAGGAAGTTTTGGGGCTACCAAGTTTGGGAGATGGATGGATTGACTGTACTCTTAATGAGGCCCTTTGAGCCAATCTGCTTTTAAGAAATTAGAACGTAGTTTTATATTCTTCCTTCCTGACTTTTAGACCCGAGTATCCAACATAGCAATTTGGTCCCAGGTTGACTCTAATTAAGTTCTTCTTCGAGGTGGAGCATGTGCAATGGCCGGTATTTTTACGGGGGGCGATGCCAAAAGACATATAAAAAATAAGTAAAGTAGAAAGGGCTGGGGAGATAGTGATGTCATTCCGTGCATGTGCCTAAACTATAAACACTAATGGGTCCTGCTTTATTAATTGCTCATATTCTAGTTGATAATTGTAACTTGAAAGGAGCTGGGATGAGAGGTCGGGAAGGAAAAGTGATTATCAGGTAAGCATGAGCACTCGGGTTCAATCCCAAGAACCCATTTTAAAAACCCAACAACCTGATGACAGTGGGGACACAGAGAAAGGTGGG